ATCATGCTGAGAAGAGGCGTTCAGGTAAGCCAACGCTCCTTTTCACCATTGAATTTCATTTTGTTAGATAGCGCCCAGTGTTCAAGTCTGTCCAGATCCTTCTGTATCTTAAGCCTGTCTTCTGGAGTGTTGGCTATTCCTGCCAGCTTGGTGTCATCTGCAAATTTGATGAGTTATGAAAGAGTGTTTGATGGACTCTACAGCGCTAATATGTCCCAAGGAAAAAGAGGCATTTGAGAGAGTGCCCCTCTCCAGACAAAACTGTACAGGACATCACCAGAAATCTGGAGCTTCAGCTGCAAAACAAAGCAGAGAATTTTGACTTTTTCTCCTTGGCTTTGAATGACAGCTGCAATGTCCATGACAGAGCCAGTTACTCATCTTTGTATGTGGGATCCACGACACAGCCCAGTTACTCATCTTGGTACATGGGATAATGAAGGACTTTAAGATTATGGAGGAGCTGGCAGCAATGCAGTCAATGAAAGGGACAACAACGGAGTGATTTGTTCACAGTGGTAAATGCATGCTTGGACAAGCTGGCAAGTGTTACAATGGATGGTTGTCCAAATCTGATGGGGAAAGATGTCGGACTTTTGAAGTGGATGCAGGATAAAGTGACTGAAATGAACCCTGAACAGAAACTGGTATTTTTACATTGTATTTATACATCAGGAGGTGTTGAGTAAGTCAGTGCTAAAAATTAACCATGTTATTTTTTTAAAAAAACAAGTTTTATTGGTTTTTTAATCTTTACATCAAAGTGCTTAAGAAACAACATGGTAGGGGAATCAATCATCCAAAAACAAAATCATACATATATAACTCAGGTTAATTCATCAAAAGTTCCCTCTCTATTTCCCTCGTATAATATAACATATTCAAATTAATACATTTCTAAATAGGATTCAATCAATCAAAGCAGTCATTAATAACATTTCATCTATAAAGATCCAAATCCTGTTTTGAGCTTTACTAATTTACTATTACCATATTCCAATTTAGCCTTAAATAAACATATTATTAACACTTCGGGTATCCCTCGTTTCCCTTTTTTTCCTGACGCAATAGTTATATCTGAGAAGCATATATTATTCCAACAATAACATTCTTATAATTTCCAGATATAATCTATTTCTTAATCTAATAAGTCATTTATTAATACCGTTTCTTCTCTTGTCACATATCCCTCTTGTTCTTCTTCCATTCGGAAATAGTTATCCTACCTAAGTAAAAATATTATTCCAAAAAATACATGTCTACTCTATTCTAAATATATATTCTATCAATCAATCTATATCTATAAGAAATCTTTTTAACCCATTAGGTAGAGTTTAAATCCCCTCCAGATAGTTATCATATCTAAGACAAACATATTATTACAGAAGGTATCTTCTTATTGGATTCACATACTCCATTAAGTATTAAATCAATCAGGGTCTCTTCAGCCATTTTAATCCATTAAGTGAAATTTCAAGTCACATTTTAAATCTAATTCTGGCTTTCTTTCTGTGCCAAACCGGTTTCCATAGTAAAGCATCTGTATCATTAAATCTCAGTATTTGAATAGGGGTATTTATCGGCAGTTCAGTCTGGTCAAAGTTCTCTTCCCCTTTTTCCAGTATCATCTGAGTAGTATAATCAGTTATATTCCATGTTGTAATTACTAGTTGATTATCCACATTGTCACAGTTTTCAGTAACTTGTGTCTGGATATCAATTCCTGTTATTTTTGGCACTGCAGATATCTCAATTAAAGTCATTCTTTGATCATCAAGGTTCTCCATAGATTGTATATGGGATTGTATAATATCCTCTTCTATGTTAATTGCTTCCTTTTCTGTTGTTTCTTGACTTGTGGCGTAATCAATTGAAGTCTGAAAGTCAGTTTGAGGTTTTGAGGCAAGAGTTTTTCTAAAGTTGATTTGCTCAGTGGATTCCATGATCTGTCCTTCTCTATTGTTCCTTGGCCTATAGATTGATCCGTTAAAATTTGAGATTCAATTTGTGGTTCTGAAATTTCATCTTTAATTTTTCTCCAAGATTTCATGTACTCCGTAGCTTCCAAAATTTTTTCCAATATAAGCTCATAATCAAGCTGTGGGTAAACTTCCTCCATTTCAATGGTGAAATAGTCTTTTAATCTTTTGGTGGAGGCTGTATTTACTAAAAGTCAACAAGTATCCACCTCCACAATTTCCCTTTTATTATCATTTGAAGGTCAAATCCATCTTCAAACACCAGGAGGAAATACAGTTGCAGTAACAATTTTCACCACAAGATGACTGTAGGATCCTTTTTTTTCCACGTTAATAAAATTTTATCTCATTAGGAAAATAGAGAATAAAAAAGGCAGGTATCTCCAGCATCATAAGTAAAGTAATAATAATGTTCTGTAATAGGAATTTTTCCAGGACCCCTAGGTATCCAAAAAATTAAATAGTCAGTAAAAGTTAGCTATTTTATTTCTTTTGTTTCCAGAGCTATTTTTCCCAAGTAAACAGATGCCGCTCTCTTAAAGCAGGGAAGTAGTTCAAAAGCTTTTTACAGGAAAGATAGGGCAGAGAGAGGGAAGGAAAGGTCTCACCCGGATCCTCCACGGTGGTTCTTTATCGCTTAGCTGTTCTTCTGACTTTCGGCTGGAGCGGCAAGGTGATTGGCCATTTTACTGGCCGATCTTTTCTTCGTCGGCCCTAAGGAGCTGGCTTGGACCGCGGAAGGAGCTGCCGCCCTTCCGCAGTCAGACGAGGAGCCTCCTCGACGGTAGTCACCCCTCCAAGGCGACTTTTTTACCCTATTGAGGGTCTACCGGCGGAGGGAAACCCGCCGGCGAAGAGAGAAGTCTCTGCACATGACCGCCTGCGCCACAACCCGGAACCGGAAGCCAAAATTAACCATGTTATTGATGTTGTTAACTAAAATAGTTAACTTCATCAGGGCAAGAGCATTGAACCACAGCACTTTTGGAGGAGCATGAGACTGATCATAGTAACATAGGCTACCACATAGCTGTCAGCTGGTTCGGCCTGGGCAAAGTGCTTAAAAGAGTATGGGACCTGAGAGCAGAGATTCAAAAGTTCTGTGAGAAGAAAGGGAATGACATCCCAGAGCTCTTGGATGCAGACTGAATGGCAGATTTTGGATTTGCTATTGATGTGACTGCACCAATGAATGAACTAAATACCAAACTGCAATGCAAGGACCTTTTTGTACATGAAATGTACAAGCTTGGTGAAGGCTTTCATGAGAAAGTTGCACTTTCTTTGAAGCCAAATGGAGGACAACATTCTCACCCACTTGCCAACACTAAAAGAAGTCACACCATCAGCTGATCACCACCTCAGGTACTCATCCATGTTAGGTGCACTACATGGTGAGTTTTCAAGGCAATTTTAAGACTTCAAAACAGTTGAGAATGAAATGCACATTTTTTTTTCTTTTACCTGCAGTGTGGATAACACACCCAGCGATGTTCAGCTTGAACTCATTTGAGATTTGAGATTTTGAGATTTTATTAAATTTATACCCCGCCCTTCTCCCGGAGGACTCAGGGCGGCTTACAGCCAGTTTAAAACAGTGATACAATACAAAATTTAAAAAGATTAAAAATAACTATTTAAATTTGGCCGCTTCTACTAAAAATTTAATTTAAAACCCCTTTAAAATACCCCTAGGCCAGTCCTGC